AAGGACCCGCTGCCTTTATTTTTAAAGAATGGCCACATTTGCACCCTGGACCCCAATGTCCCCATCCCTCATCATTGGTTGACCATTGACCCCAAAGATTTTGGTCCGGCCTTATCCTTTTTGGGGGGAGGTAAAGCTTGTCTTGGTCCTGGACCCAAGTCAAAAGCGACAACAATCCGCAAAACCAAGTCTGATCGATCTGTTTGCTCAGGAATCTCTAGCTGGTTGAAGCCGATTTCTCAGTCCAATCAATCCAAAAAGCGGCCCAGCGCAGCTACTAGCAGTGTTGGGTCTTCTTGGCTGAAGCCAGTGAGTGGAAAGTCCACCACACAGATACCTAACTCAGGGCGTCCGTCGATTGTCTCAAAGACTCCGGGTCGAGCGTCATCGCCGGGGCCTCAGACCGAACAAACGCGGGAAACTTTCCAATGGGTTTGCCATCTTTGCGACTGCAGGTTCTATGCCTCTAGCTCTAGGAAGTTAGGATACAAACGAAATAAACACATCAGTAGCAGACATAAAAACATGTCTCGCAAGGAATTCACTACCATTCGCACTATCCATGATATCATCCCTCCTCTGCCCCTTGACCGCCTTCCCACCGAGCCTTCATGGGTTTGCTCATGGTGCCAACAAGGGATCCCTTTCCTGCCCGAGGCTCAACGGGTTAGCTCCGCTAAAGCGCATCTTAAAATTTGCAAAGATGCCCCCCGCAAAGCTGACATGCGCAAGAATTTGTTAAACCAATTGGCCCTTGGTGGTTTGAAGGTCGCTACAAAGAAAGCGGGGGTCACTCTTGGTAAGTACTGGCTTAAACACAGCCAACGGAAGGCTGCAGCTGCAGAACTGTGTAAAACCCTTGGACACACCCCCATCAAATGGCAACCTGCAAACAGAGTTTTGTACACTTGCGACAGTTGCACACTCATTTGGCGCACTGAGACGGCAATGAAAACGGCCAAGGCGTGTAAAGGGAAAGCCGCTAGAAAATTTTTGTTACGTAGCAGCGCCAGACGACTTTGGTACAGCAAACTCACTCAGTGTTCCAAAAACCACATCAACAAACTGTGGGCGTTGAACAAAGATGAACGGGGTTGGCTCACTGAGGTCAGGACGCCCTCTTGACTATTTTCTGTGGACATAGTGATTTCTTGCTGTGCCAGGAATGTTTGGTTTCCAGATCTGACCGAAGAAGGCATTGAACCGAACCCTGGGCCTTCATCTAAGGCTCTTGCGCGAGATTTGACCCAAGAGACCATCCACCCACAGCCTGGGCCGACACAGTTTGCACAGCATCGGTTTTGCAGCCTGAATACGCAAGGTTATAACAACCTTCACTCGTTCATTAAGGAAACTGATTTGTTGGATGCTGACATGCTTTGTTTTCAGGAAAGCAATCTCACAAACCGTCAGGCCGAAGATCTCCTAGCTCTGGCCAGGAAAAAGGGCTACCGTGGTTGGACTTGTTTAGGTGAAGCCAAGACGGATTCAAGAAACCGACCTTATGTCCATGGTGGCCTTGTCACCCTGATACGCAGTTCGTTGCCGGCTCATAGAATCACCGAGTACAAAGACGGTGCCACGGCTCTGCTGGTGGTGCAGGTGGGTACCCTTCGTTTGATGAACTGCTACTGTGGTCACCACACCTCCTGGGCTGATTTCATCAGCGCCCTTCAAGAGAGCAAAGGTGTTGACGCCAACGCTGCCCTCTGTGTAGGTGATTTCAATATGACTGTACAAAAAATCCGTCAGGAAGACGCAAATATTTACTTTGTGCAAGACGATGCTGGTTCCCCTGTCCCCTCCAGATGGGGTTCAAAGGATTGCATTGACTTCTGCCTCTGTTACCACGCCCGGTGTTCTCAGCTCAAGTTTGCTTTCGAAAAGTATTCCGATCACAAACTTATGCAGGGCGTAATTCACCATTCTCTACACACAAATCGTGACCATCAGTACTTGATCCCTACTACTTGCTATGATACCCCAAAGGACATGGAAAACGTTACTTGGAAACAGCTGATCCATTCGGTTCTTGCTGATTTGCCCATACCCGCAACTTCCGACACGGAGACCGAATGGAATGATTTCCACGCGGCTCTGGAAGACAGACTTTGGCAATTGCTGCAACAATACGATCTTAAACTGCCTCCTAGGTGGCGCCGCAAAGGCTCCTTCTTGCAGACTGCGAGCGCAAAAGAGCTTAAAAATAAGAATTTGACGACCAGCTTCAAAACACGTAGACTGCGGAATCTGGTTGGCAGATTGCTCGAAATCCAAAGGCAACATGCTTGTGGCATCCAATGCCCCAACCTGGAGGCTAAAACTCTGAAGAGCTGGCCAAAGCATGTGCCTCAAGCCCACACATGGGACGAACGACTACAAATCGCTTCCCAATACCTGGACAACCATGCGCAAGAACAACACGCGTCGGCCATTCAGAAGTGGAAGTCACACATGAATCAAGGTGGCAAATATGCCGCTCGTTGGTTACAGAATAATCCTAGAGCTGCAATTCAATCCATTGAGACACCCACAGGTCTCCAGACTTCACCTGCCAGTTGCCTTGAAGGTATTCACAGCTACTGGACCGACATTTGGCATCGTCCACTACCATCGTTCGAGCAAGCCGCCGCTGCTTGGATTGAACATCATCCCCAATCGGAGCAGAATGAAGCTTTCGAACCCAACCAAATATGGACAGCTCAAGCTTTGATGCAAACTGCCCACCACATCAGGGGCAGTGCCGCAGGGCCAGATGGCTGGACAGGAAATGAAATTGCCTTTTTCCCCCTTCGTGTATGGGAAGTCTATTCTCACCTGCTTCAACGTTGGCTACAAAGAGGGATCTTTCCCATGCACTGGCGCCAAGCCCGCCAAATCACCTTACCTAAAAAGCCAGTTGATGTTACCGACGGGATTTGCAGGGTTCAAGATACTAGACCTATCACTGTTCTTTCCGTATGGTGGCGTGTCATCACGGGCACATTAACTAGGCACACTCACTTGCAAGCCTGGCATGATAGTCTAATTGACACATCAATTTGGGGCAATTCGGGGGCGGGACCTTTTCGACGCACATGCTGAGCTGTCTGAAAGTTTCCACGTTAAAAAGCGGATACTCACCAGTCTTGATTATCGTAAATGCTTTGACATGGTCCACCCTAAGTTGATCCTTCACATTTTCCAAGCTGCAGGGTTTCCCGTTGATCTTTGCCACATGCTTTCACACGTTTGGGAACATCAGGAACGCTTCATTCAGCTCTATGATGCTATTAGGCCCCAGGCTGCTTTCGTTTCCTCCTCCTTACCACAAGGTGACGCCTTGTCGCCTGCAGCTCTGAACATTTTGCTGTCAGCACCTGCCCATCACATGCGTCAGGTTTTTGGCACTTCATTTCGGCAGTCCATCTACTTAGATGATCGCACATTGTTATGTGACAACCTCACTGTCCAAAAAGCAGTGCTTAGTGAATGGCACGCTTGGTCAACCATGTTCGGCCTTGAAGAGAACAACTCTAAGACTGTTGTACTTTGTGCTTGCTCCTCTCGGCGCAACCAACTCGCTAAACGTGATGAACTTAACAAGTTCCTGCATGCTCAGACCCGGGTTCTTGGCATCGATTTGAAGCAAAATCGGAGAGACATGGGTGTTACCGCTTATGACCGCTTAGAGCAAGCCAAAATTGCAGGCAACCGACTGGCCAAAACCTTTCTTAGTTGGACCGCCAGAAACCTTTTGTGGAAAACTAGGATCCTTGCCAAAGCCTCCTGGGGTTGGATTTTCGAAGCGCCAGATAAAACGGCCAAACAGACAATGCATCGCTTGAGAAACAGCATTTTCCCTGCGCAACGTGTAGGTTCCCGACCTCTCTCCACGATTCTGTCCGGGCATGGGACTGATTTCGATTTTACGCAGAATCTTAAAGCCTGGCGTTCGTTCTGCCAGATCAGCCGCCAGAAGGTGTTACATGCTCAAGACCCTTGGCGCACCAAGGTTCACAGATGGTTGAAACGTTTGGGGTGGTTGCCGAGCTCCACTTTTCGCTGGACCCACAGCATTCTGGGAACCCTTGATGCCCTGGGGGACAAAAAAGAACAGGAACACAAAGTCAGGGAATCTTGGCGTCGGTGCCTTTTCGACCAGTTCATCACTTCCAAACGTAGGGATGCACACCTCTTGCGTTCTTGGAGATATGATGAGACTTCCTGCAAATTTGCGCGAGAGCTTTTTCTGTCGGGCACTGGTGACGAAAGGGCAGTTCTTTGCGGAGCTGCTCTGTCTTTGGCGGCCTACAGAAAAATGGCCAAAGTGGCCGTGGGTACTTGTCAATTTTGCCATCAAGTCGCCGTCCCGGATTGGCATCATCTTTGTTGGGTTTGCCCGGCCACTGGGCCTCACCCGGTATATCCCAACGAAATTCACACAGCTAGACTGGGCTGGCCTTGCCAGTCTGATAATTTGCAAAAGGCTCGGGAGCGATTGCGCCACATGTCAGCCGTGCGTGCACGTGTGATGCACGTCGGTCGGGCTGTCTTGACAGACAGCTCCTAAGGTTATCCGGCCCTTCGGGGCCGCATTATGGCTGCGTTATCCTCTGCGGTGACCAGTCATTTCAAGTATCCATGTCGGCCTCATGCCGTTCATGTGCTACCAACACCCTACCGGCCAAGAGAGTATCTTGAAGTACCCAAATGTATTCTGTGGCACAGATGAGCACGCTCTTTGGCCAACAAAGAGCATGCCGTTGAAATTGGTTGGACATATCCCATCATTTGATCCATCCCATCATCTCATCATCTGCGCATCATAACTAAAGTGATCATGCGGATCTTTGGAGCCTTTGTGATTTTCTTGGCCTCCAACCGGACTCCAACCTAAGAGCGATGGCCTCCACCCTACTAGCGATGGCCCTCCAACCTAAGAGCGATGGCCTCCACCCTACTAGCGATGGCTGCCAAACCGACTAGCGATGGCCTCCCCAAATGTGCTTGGAATCTAGGTCATCATGCGGATCTTTGGAGCCTTGGTGATCTTCTTGGCGTTCAGCTTCTTCACAGCAGCTTGCTACGCTGCGTATCAAGCGCCAAAGTGGTCTGGCCAACCAAGGCGCCACACTGAATCACTGACGGTCACTGTCCCGACTTTTGGAAGGTTTAGTTTGCTGGATATGTTATTTTTTTTGCGTGGCCTCCTTGGCTTTTGTGGCTCTTGGCTCCCACTGGCTGTTCGGCTTCTAGTGGCTAAAGGCCTTCGATGGCTACATTGGTTGAAGGCTTCTGTGGCTTGTGCGTTTGGTTGCAAGTTGGTTTGGTCTTGCTTTTGGTGGTTCTCGTCAATTTTGTTTGATTTTGATAACTTCTGTTGGCTGCTGGCTTTTGGTAGCTTGGCTTGACTTTTGTTGGCCAGGTTCTGAAAGAGGTTTGCGCGTGCTTTGCCAAGGTCCGCTCACAAGACCCCAATGTTGACGATAATCCTAGTTTGATGACAATGATGATGATCAATAAAGATGAAGATGAAGTTGACGATGCTACTTGCTGCTATTGATGATGATGATGATGATGATGATGATGGATGGTCCAAATGGTGGTCATGTTGATGATGACAACTGTGTTCGTGATGATGTTGACGTTGATGAATATTCTTGTGCCGGCGCATGATGGTGATGAACATGATGGTGATTATTATGGTGCTGACCTGATTGCGAAGCGGGTGATGATGGTCCTGATGATGGCGATGATGTTGATCATGTTTTTAGTTCGTGTCCGACGTTAAAGCTGAAGACGGTGGTGATACGAGACACATGGTCTTTGCGATAATGACGTTACAACTAACTAATGGTTCATATGTTGGTGGTGATGCTGGTGAAGACGTGAGGACGATGAGGGTGAAGACGATGATGGTGAAGACGGCCGGGCCGTGGTGATGATGATTCCGAGACGATGTTGATGCTTCTGATGAGGATGGTGTTGACGAAGCTGGCGATGTTTATGACGTGCTGTGTTGATGATGATCTTCCTGATGATGATGTTTATGATGAAGTTGACGGTGACAACAATGGGGATGATCATAATATACTGAACGTGACGGTGGATGGACATGTACTGTAAACCCTGAAAGTCAATCAACTCACGTTACAGGTGAGAGCGGTTCCCTTGTTCTAGGTCTAACACAGAGTCGCAGTTCCTGGTGAAAACCTTGAGGCTGGCACTTCTAGTTATTCAGAGTTTGCTGCTGCTGATGCTAATGGCAATGTTGATCAGTGATGGTGATAATGGTGAGATTATTCAAATCACAATGTGTTTGACCATTTAGATCGGTCAGCCAGCCTTGCATAGGCACAAATCGAGAAGTGTACATCTGACGCACTTCAGGCCCATGTCGTGAAACAAGCGTTTCGCTTCGCATGGTAGCGGAGCGTGGCCGTATTGAGCCCGCTCCGTTGCCCACGCCATAGCGCAACGGGCCCACTGTAGTTTGCCCACGCAGCTCTCTGTATCCACTTCAATGCTGTGGATGTGCCTCACTTTCCACCGTCGGTGCTGGGCGACAACCTGTGGTGGCTGGTAGTGGCAGATCTCCTTCGTCCACGCGTCTCCAGCGCCACCTGCAATGCAGCTCAACAAAAGGAGCTCGACCAGCCACAGGGAAATCGGATGTGCCCCTCCGGATGACCGCCTCCTCACGCACCGTACGAAATAAAGTGAAAAAGAAAGGAAAAGGATCCAGATCCAGGGAAAGAAAACAGCTGGTGGTCATCGTCCCGGCTAAGTGGAAGCTGCTGAAGAAGGTCGAGCACCTACGAGACCAAGCTGATAAAGACGCGATCAGCGATCTGGTAGCAAACTGGGACTTCAAGAAGTTGCTGACCTACACCAACCTCGAGATCAACGAGGAAAAGTTGGACAGTGAGCCCTACGCGACATCGAAGACCTATTACCCCAAGGTGTCATATATCCACACCATGGCGGAGGAAAGTTTGAAAATGATTTCAACGGCCCTTGAGAAGCTGACGGTGACTCAAAGTTCGAGCTCTTGGGCCAGGCAATGAAAACTCCAGACTTGTTCAAGCCCGACACTCGTGATAACGAGTTGAAGCAGTGGAGTGACTGGAAGTTTTCGCTTATTTGAGAACTATGTGAAGGGCATCGATGCGCCCATGGCCCACAGCATGAAGCTCGTGGAGGAGAACCTCAATGGGAACTATGAGCTGGATGAAATGACAGACGAAACGAAAGCTCAAGCCATCCGCCTCTACAGCCTCCTGATTTCCTATCTTCGAAATCGACCTCTGAAGTTGGTGAGGCATATGAAGCAGGAAAATGGCTTCGAGGCATGGCAACGACTCCTACGAGAAATGCAACCAGTGACGAGGGCCAGATCTCTGGCACTCCTGACACAGCTCTCACGAGTTCAATTTGCTGAGGGCAAGTCGATCTCAGAGCAATTGCCCGTGTATGAATCCATCGTGGCCGAGTATGAGAGGATCTCCGGGCACACATATGGAGATGACAACAAGGTTGCATCGATCTTGCAGGCCGTCCCAGCTCATGTCAGGTCGCGCCTCCAGCTCTGGATCACCGATAGCACGACCTATGAGCAGTTGAAGAACAAGGTCATGGAGCTGGAGGCGCTGGCAACCAAGTGGGACAGTTCGAATTCCTTGAGCCTTCCCACACGAATGCCTTTGGATGAAGCAGTACCCATGGAGGTGGACAACATCCAGAAGGGCAAGAAGGGAGGAAAGAGCAAGTCCAAGGATGGAAAAGGAATGACAAGGGCAAGAGTTTCTGGGATAAGAGTGGTCCAGGAAAGAAGGGGAAGACGCCTGAGAAAGGAGGAAAAGGTGGCAAGCAAGCAGGAGCACGCCACAATTGCGGCAAGACGGGTCATTATGCTAGGGATTGCTGGAAACGAGTGTTTTTAGTTGAGGAGATAGCTGGTGGAGGAGCATCATCGTCATCCACCGGACAGACTGGAGCAGCAACATCCTCGACCCAGATGACAACGGCATCAGTGAAGATGGTGCGTATGTCCACGCCGCCTGACACCAGGAGCTTGGAAATCTTTGACCTGACAGGGTCAGGGTCGGAAGACAATGAATTCCCATGGAGAGCGGGGATGATCGAAGTGGGCAATGAGGTGATGGATGAGGAGTTCTATGACTGCATTGAGCCTGTGGTGGGCATCCCGTTGGGCGTTGCAAGTGTAGCCATGGACCTTCAGGATGAGAGTGAAGAGAAACTGGTGCAGATGGTCAGCGCTGGTGAAAGGGAAGGAGAAGAGTGCCTGGTCACGCTGGACAGCGGTGCCGACATCTCGGTACTGCCCAAGGCCTATGCTGATGTGGGTCAATGGGCACCAGGCTCAACAAGTTTGAGGATGGTGGACGCTCAAGGGAAGCGCATTGCCCACAGTGGAGTTACAAAGGCAAGAATCAGCGCCACGGATGCCAACGGAAAAAAAGAATTGAGATGGTGGAGGAGTTTGTTTTGGGGAACGTGCAACATCCGATCCTATGTGCAGGACGACTCCTTCGACGTGGTTGGAGCATTGAAGCTGAAGATGGCCAATTGGGGCTGCAACACAAGGGACGGGGAATCCATGTCCCCATCAATGGTGAGAGGAACTCCTTGCAGTTCAGTGCACGCATCTCTACGGTGGAGGTGGCTGCAATGAAGAAGGAGGAACAAGGAGAAGCTCGAGTCATGGCTTTGAGAGGAAGCCTTAGCAGGTATGTGAAGGACCTGGAAATGCAGCCCGGGTGGCATCAGCTTCCAAACGGCATCGTGGCATACAGTGACCCTGTGGCAATGTCACTGACCGACCCCAGAGGACAGATTGAAAGCACCAGTTTGGTGAAGGAGAATGATGGCATGTGGAGTCAAGTGGAGAATGTCGACGACTTCACGAACCTAGGAGAGACAGCCTTCAGGAAGATTGGCGCAGGAGGACCACAACGCACGATTACCTTCTTTGCGCCCTCTACAATGGAGGACTATTGGGAGCATGAGTCCGAGGTGCCAGTGAGGCCATTTGCAGAGGAGAAGAGGCGAGAGCCACAAGGAAGGACCGATTGGTCTGAAGATGACAAAGAGGATGAAGAGCAGATGGAGCTGCAGATGGAGTCACACGACATTGAGAAGATGGTAGTGGCACAGAGGCCAAACGAGGTTGAACTCGACGAGACCATCTACACGGAGAAAATGTCTGTAAAGGACTTGCAGATAGCGTGCAAGGAGCGCCAGCTGCCCTACAGTGGAAGCAAAAGACGGCAACAGGAAAGGAAGCCACTAGCACTTGGCCAACCACGACTCTCATCCCTCAAGGAGCAAGAGACGCATTTTGTGACTCATCTTCCATATGCTCCTTGGTGTCAAGCTTGCGTGGCGACGAGAGCGAAGGAGGACAAGCATGAGATGAGGGACGACAAGCCTGACCAAGGGAAGAATGTGATCTAAATGGATTTCTTCTACACCTACACTGGGGAGGAGAAGCGCGTGGATGAGTCCCCGGTGGACAAAGTCATGGAAAGGTCAGACCAATATGGGACCTGCTTGGTCATGGTATCATCAGAAACCAAAGCGGTGCATGTTGTCCCCGTGCCATCGAAGGGCACAGCAAGCCTCAAGACAGTGACCGAGGAGGTGGTGCGGTTTTCACTGGAGAACTCATCGATGGATGGCTGTATCTTCCAAGGAGATGGTGAAAGGGCCATGAGGCAGTTGCTGAGGTCTGTTCAACAGGTCAGAGCCATCATGGGCTTGCCGTGTGAAGTCAGGATGACAGGTAGCAATCAGCACGCCTCCAACGGACAAGCTGAGCGAGCAGTACAGAATGTGCGGAGAATGGCCAACTGCGTTCGCAACTTTGCAGAATCAAGAGCACGGTTGAGTATAATGGGAAGTATGCGCATCTACCCCTGGTCGTTCAGGTATGCTGGATTCCTGCTGAACAGGTTCAGGGTGCTGGAGAAGATGAACAAGACCTCCTATGAGTTGGCAACAGGGCATGGCTATCGTGGCAAGCTAGCACTGCCGGAGAGTCGGTGATGTACAAGAGGCTGGTGAAGTACAAAGCCAGTGACCTGTTCGAGCGAGGAGTCTGGGTCGGAAAGCACAGCTGGAACGACAACCACATTGTTCTCAGCCCAGAGGGAGCATTTGAAGCCCGGACAATCAGGCGGTTGGCGTCGGAGGAAGCATTCATCGCCACGGACATTGTGGTGGCAAAGGGACTGCCGTGGAGCTACAGCCCGCAAGGAATTCTGATGAAGCATGCTGGACAAGCACAAAGGTACCGGCAGCCAACCCTTGAGAACGAGGCGACAGAGGAGGAGATGAAGGCCGTCGCAGATGCAGTTGCGGCAGGCGTAGTCACGCCAGCACCTGGACTACGACCACAGCCCACAACTCCTGGAACGTTAGGCCAGTCATCGGCAGCAGTACCTCAAACACCAGCTCCATTGCCAGCGACACCAAGGAAGAGAAGTGTGGAAGGAGAAGGTGAAGAACCGGAGAAGAAGAGATTGGATGCATCAGACTCCCCAAGAAAAGGCCATGACAAGAGAGAGTCAGAAGCAATTGACTCAGGCACGGAAAAGAAGCAGAGGACAGAAGAGGAGGCAGAAGTAGAAGGGGCTATGAGCTTGCCATCAAACGCCATGGCAGTTGAGCCAAGAGGGGAAGGTGGCGAGACGATGGCATCGGGTTCCCCAAGCAACCTGGCAAGGCTCTACCCTCCTCATTACGCTGGGATCCAAGCCATTGAAGCACATGGCGACGAAGAAGTTGGACAGGACTTGATCCCGGAGGAGGTGAACGAAGAGATGTTCGCGGGCTATGGAGGAAATGAAGACGACGAGCCGCCAATCACCAGTGAAGAGCACCTAAACCTGCTGGATGAACAAGCAAAGAAGAATGAGGTAGAGAGGACGCTCAAAATGCCAGCCATGCGGGAGTCAAGTAAGGATGAGGTGCAGGAGAGTGAAGGCTACACTATCTCCACCAAGTTCGTGATTACCTGGAAGCACCGTTTGGAGCAAGGGGGCTGGTTCCGAAGAGCACGCCTAGTTGCGAGGCAGTTCAAGGGCAGTGTTGATCTTGACCAGTCATTTGCCCCCACGTCAATCATGGTTCTGCCCAAGATGCTCGTCCATTTGATGCTGAATGTCTTCAAGCACTTCAGGGCGATGACCCTGGACATCAAGGACGCATTCCTGATGGCGGACCAACCACCAGAGGAACGAGCCTTTGTGGAGTTGAATGGCACCATCTATAAGCTCATCAAGTGCCTACCGGGTCAGAGGACAGCCGCATCACAGTGGTTCCAACTCTTCGTGGGAGCTGCAAAGAAGTTCGGATTGGAACAAGACCCAATGCAGCCTACCTTGTTGATGATGAAGAAAGAAATGTACATCACGGTGCACGTCGACGACATCTTCATGGTGGGTAATGAGAGGATGCTGAAGAACTTCGTGGAGTACATGCGCAAAAGGAAGGGCTGGAACATTGAGGTCAAAGGGCCATTTGGAATGAATGAGAAATTCCATTACTTGAAGAGGGAGTTTTGGCCTGGCGCAGAAGGGTGCGACATTCGGTGCGATTACAAACAGTACGAAAGCCTGGCCAAGGACACAGACGTGTTCAAGAAGGCCTACAGGAAGACTCCCATGGACCAGAACTTCGCCAAGAAGGATGAAAGCCAGCTGCTTGAAGGAGAGGAGATCACAAAATATCGCAGCGTGGTTGGAAGGCTGATGTATCTAGCTGGTGAGCGACCGGACGCCCAGTTCAGCATTCAAAGCTTGGCAAGAAGCATGGCCAAACCCACACAACAGGCATGGAAGAACGCCTGGCATGTGTGTTCCTATTTGCAAGGAACAATGGGCTTCGGTGTGAGGATCGGTCTGAGGCAGTCGGTCATGGATGTGAGAGATGAAGAGGAGGTGGACGAGAAAGAGAAGCATCTGATAGAAGTTGTGACAGATGCTGACTACGCTGGCAACAAGAATGATCAATGATCGACGCAGCACCACATCGTTCCAGATCTTCATCGATGGGAACTTGATGGAGTCGAGAGTTCGCTCACAAAAGGCCATAGCTCTATCCTCAGGAGAATCTGAGTTTGTGGCCATCGTGGCAGGGTGCTCGGATGGACTCCTGATCCGACACCTATGGACAGCCATGATTGGAGAGCCCTGCGACATGAGGATTCGATCCGACAGCTCGGCAGCCAGAGCAATGGTGCAACGACAAGGCATTGGAAGGGTTCGACATCTGGATGCAGCACTACTATGGGTGCAGCAGAAGGAAAAGGACAAGATCTTCAGTGTGGCAGCAATCAGCTCAACTGTGCTGATGTTGGGACGAAGAACCTGACAAGGAGCCGACTCTATGGACTGCTGTTCATGCTGAAGATGATCAACAACCTTGGTGAGAGGATTGGCCAACAGGAGTTCATGGACTTGGAGTACAAGGAGAGGATGCGAAAGGCTACCAAGAAGATCATGAAGGTCAAAGACTTGCATGTGGGGATGTTGATGATCCTGTCGAGACTTGGTGAAGTGGCAGGAGAACCCACAGAAGAAGAAGCAAAAGGCTATGATTGGAGTTGGATAGTCCTCACGGCATGCGCCGTGCGCGGGGCCTTGAGCATTGCAGGATGGTTGCGGCGCAACATCATTGAAGGTGTCCTGGGCAAGGTGGGGCGCTACATCGTGCAGTACCTGAACAACATGCTCGGGACCCAGGCTGAAAAGGAAAAGCCTGAAATGAAGGAGATAGGCAGCCAAGCCTATGAGACGGAGGGCTTGCAGACCTACATGAAAGCATATGAAGAAAACGAGGAGAAGATGCAGAGTAAGCTGCAAAAGAAAGATGACTACATCGAGGAATTGGAGATTGGCATCAGCGAGATGCGCCGACAAAGGGATCAAGCCTTCAAAGAGCTTGAGATTTCTGAAGCCTACGGGCTACGGTTGCTAAGGCAAACCACCCAGTACAGGATGAATCCAAGGGGCAAAGCGATCCACTTTTGCGAACGCTGCCCCCACTACGCAAAAGCGTATGAAGTACAATTGTGCCAAGTATGCGTGGCTGGAGGCACGGTGTTTGACCATTTAGATCGGTCAGCCAGCCTTGCATAGGCACAAATCGAGAAGTGTACATCTGACGCACTTCAGGCCCAAGTCGTGAAACAAGCGTTTCGCTTCGCGCAATGGGTAATGAAGATTTTGATGGTGATGACGAGTTTGTGGGCACAGAGGCACACAAACGCAGCGCTGACCCACACAGCAAACATCATCGTTACTATCTTCACACTGGTTGTCATGATCACCATCACCATCATATCCATCATTTTCTCATAGTGATCATCACCCCCATCATGCGTGCTATCATGATCGTCATCAACATCATCATCATCATCATCACCAATGATGTTGATGATGATGATGATGATGAGGACGATGAGGATGTATTTATCACATTGGTGATACTGATGAACGTAACGATGATATTTAGGTGTCAAGGTAACCGTCGAAGAGGGCGGGCAGTTGCAAACGGAGGTGCCCAAACTTCTGCGCCAATGCATCCGAACGGCATGTGACCCTTTTACACGCCCAACAAATATGGCGGACATCCAATTCCAGCCTTTTGTTGGCTGCACTTAGGCTTCGGCTAACCACAGCGACATATATCGATTCATTTTCATGCGCATGTCCTGGGAGAAAGCCTCTAAACATAGCCCAGTGGTGATGGTGTTGAAGATGATGGTGGCGACTACGCAGGTGATTTGGTGATAATCGCGATGATGGCATTGATAATGGTGATGAGGTGATGACGCGCAAACTTCCGCACAGATGCATCCAAGCGGTATTTCAGGGCACCCGGCGTGTTCGCTGGGCACACGTCTCTTGAGGGACACCATTCGACATTTGCAACCTCTGCGATTTCCTGCCTACTTTGAAATCTTTCTTTGAGAGTGACACATTGTTTGCAACCTCTGCTTCCAAACACTTGTTTGCAACACACGCTTCAATTCCCTTACTCTGTGCAAGGAGGAGGCACTGCTGGGAACCTCCCCTACGCCAATCCTACCACACTTTAAAAGATAATATGATATATCCCGCCACAAGTTTTTGCGCTTTTCCGTTGGCAAAACATCCGCCTACCCGAACCACAGGAAACCTGAGGTTAATTAGAGTATTAGAGGCCACAACCACACATGCGTCGACACCGTCGGAGGGTATCTTCAACGGTATTTGTCCACATTAATCCCTTCACTCGTTTCAGAGCAAAGAAAATAACTGAACAACAGCAGACACAGCAGCTGAAGCAGAACGATCTCAACAAAACTGTGGCGCATTTAGTTGATGCTGTGAGCGAACGGACTGTGCTGAGTTGAAGAGAAATGACCTGAAATCAATCCTCCAACCTAATTAATAGCAATGACCTCCAACCTAGTAACTAGCGATGGCCTCCAACCTAAGAGCATATCTTTTGTTGCGCAGCTAGGTCTTGGATCGTGTTAGAAGGAGCGAGGGTCATATGAGGGGTGTGAGGTGATATGTGCGAGAGACCCATGGTGACCGCCGCCTGCACACCCATCCGCACACCTCCACACCCATCCTTCACCGCAGCCACACTGTTTCAGGCCTTGCAACAGCATTTCCTGAAGAGTCAAATAAATCACATGTTGATGATGTTCGATTCTATTTGGACTTGAACTAGTGCGTTGGTGGCCAATGTGATCCAATGTGTATTTGTTGAGCACTTTGTTGCGAGTCAGGCTGGCCGCCATTCGCTTCCTGATCTTCCGCTTCCGACCCAATGTGTGGTATTTTGGCTTGGTCCTTTTGGCCCGTGGACCCTTGTTGTCCATGCCAGGTGTGATCGCGACCAACATGCCCAGTTTGCAACTTGAGTGCACGAAGATTGTCACTGACAGTACTTTCTATTTTTGAGTCATGATAGGGAATTTCCGATCCCCCATCGCAGGTGACAGGCTTTGGGGGAGGAAAAACAACCTGCGCAGCTCAGGCAACTTACGCTGATGCACATGATTCTGCTTGGATCTCTTTGCCTTCAATTGTGGTTCCTGCCTTGGAAATCCCCAATCCTCAACCTCGTGGATGGACTCTCAGTGTCGCTCCTCGTGATGCTTTTGGCAAGCTCACTTGGATATGCCGACAGCAGTGGTGAAGATGCTTCACGTGTTCTGGCGACCTTCGGAACCGTCATCTCCTCGCTGATGGTGGTCATCCTTGGAGGGATGGTGCTGCTTGGCCTGTGCGCTCTCGTCTACCGCTCGGCGCTGGGCAGCTCGAAGGAACTGCGCATCATGAACCTGGGCAAGGTCCCAAAGGAGCAGGATGTCTTTCAAAGTCTCCTGGACGTAGCGACCTTCCTCAAGGAAGATGGACAAGGCAAGGAGGCTACCTTCATCAAGGACTTGGGCAATCTCTCAGTGTATGACGTTGGCACCATTACCCGCGCGATCAACATTTTGGCTGATGACTTGAACATGGTCGTCAGCCAGAACGGCAGCATCCGCAAGAGCTCCTCCCGCCGCATCGCCACCGGACAACGCTCTGTCAGGACTTTCGGGACCGTGGTGCACATGCTGCCTCCAACCTAAGGAAGAAGAATACGTTAGGGAACCCAATAGCGATGGCCTCCAACCTACTAGCGATGGCCCACAAGGAGGTTTCAATTTTTGATTTTTCACACGGGATCACTGACCCATCTCGCCAGGAGTGCAAGTAGCTTTAACTCTGCGAGTGAGAAGGTGCCAGAGAAAGCGGAGGACGCAGGCCCGCGCGCCGCAGACGCCGCAGACTCGGCTCATGAGTTGAAGAACGAGGCCACCCTTTCTGCAGATGTCTGAGGCAGGCGATTGGGCGCAACATGGGGTCCCCTCCCATGGTGAGCCTCTTGTTTTGGTTTGGTCGAGTCAGGAGAAAAACTAAAGACCAATGCTCATGACAACCACCAGGTTTTTAGCTTGTCATGTTCGACCAGATCTGTGTACCTTTGCAGCCGTTTTTTAAGAAACAAACAGCAAGCACTTGTTGCGCAAGCACTTGTTGTGCTGTGGCTGAAAGCCAGAAATTTTTCTGCAGGGATGCTGCACAACTGCTCTCGCGCATGGTTTTTCCGTGGCACATGTATGCAAATGTATATTTGTTTCTCTGGGTTTTAGGGGTGAAGTATCTGAGAAATGAGACATACAATGGTGCTGAGAAAAGTCTGACTGCATTGCCACACCACAAGAGGCAGCTGCAGTTTTTTCCCACCACTGGCTGCTAGCTAACGTGCTTGTGTGAGCGGTGACTGGGTCGGAGCTCTGTCAAGACCCAATCACACACACAACTATTAGAACATCCGCATACCACCGACTTCTTTCTCCGCTATCGTCAAATGAAGCTCGAGAGCTTGGTGACGCAACTGGGAGCTCAGCAAGGTGTTCGCTTGTTTGGCTTGAACAACGATGTACTTCAAAGGTGTTCGCTTCCGAAATTCTTAGCCAGGACAGTGTCGTAGACATGCTTTGGATGGAAACATGGGACAGACGGGGTACCAAGTCTGTGGAGGTTGAAGGCTTGAAAACACGAAAAAGGCAGAGCAGCACTGCAGTCCATCCTGCTGTCGCGCCGCGCGCGTGACGTCGAGTGATGCCGAGTTCCGTGGCCGTGTTCCGTCGAGTTGCGAGGTTTACCTCGGCCCGTGGAGGCGAGGTCTTTGGGACGACTCCGACGGGTAATGAGACTCCCAAATGAGGGCGGAAGCTGGAGTTGGCATGCAGTTCAGATTTTGAGGCACACCGCTCTGGAGCGATGGCCTCCTAAGTCTGATTTCGATTCGCGTATTTGGGCCCTGACATGCGACTAAAAGGCCCCCCTGACATCACCTGCTCACAGGCCGACAGTGGAGGCAGACATTGGAGCAGGCTCTGGACACTCGGGGCACGCGCGTGTTTGCGAGTGTGACGCAAAGGCACGGTGCCTTTGTGACATGGCAGGAGATGGTTTGTGAGGCCATGTCTGTACACACTTTGAGCTTCAAGAAATCATCACTTCACCTTAAGGTACTTTAGAGTCTTAGATAGTTCGATGAAATCATGTTGAGATTTTGGGCTGCCTTGATCGCGCAAGTCTGTGTGGTCTGTGCGATTTTTGCGGGTTCTGGAGGCTCTAAATAAACATAGCGTCAGAGGGCACGGAGGCTCTTCGAAGGTTCATAGCCAAATCTTAAAGCCATTTGATCCAACAGCACGGACCCAGGTGATCCGGAGCTCGAAGGAGGTGAGTGGTGGCATTCTGAATGGTTGAGGGAAGGGCTTGAGTTAATGGCCCTTCAAGTTGAATATGAGTGCCTCACTTTTCCGCTAACAACGACGGAGCAACTGCCGCTGTTGCTCCTTCGCGGCCCAAAGAAATGGCTGTCAAGATTGCATTGATTTGCCTGAAAAAGAGTTCTCAGCTTCAGAAGTCAGAAAAAAGACACACGTTGGAATGAACAAAGTCGTTTTGCGCTGTTGGAGTTGGATCCGGTTCATTTTGACTTGGACCTCAGCGTTGGAACGGTCAATACGTCTTGCCAGCGTCATGTCAATGTTTGAACGAGCTTCTTGGGACTCTTGGTCCGAAGACAGTGTTTTTCCGCCAGAACCGGGAAAGCAAAGAGAAGACCTGAACCTCTGAACTTGCGTGAAGTGGGCACGGTGATCTTTGCACCGGTCAGTGGTGAATCTCTTCGCCGCTTCGCCTCCCATGGCCCGTGTCATGTTGTGCTGTCGATGGTCCTTGTCAACTCGTGTTGGTTCTTTCATTTTACGGAGCTGGCAAGAGATCACGCTCGCCTCATGCTCAAAAGATGGTTCAACCATCAATTACTGGTCCGACGCTCTTGCGCAGATGGCTTGTGAGGCTTGCGATTTCTTTAGTACGTTGACCTAATGTCACGCTGACGTGCCGGTTCCCTCACGATAATCAAACAGCATGTTCGTAGCGTTTGCACACTTTCAATCGCTGCGAGCGGGCAAATCACGAAACTCTTAAAGAATTCGTTTCTTGGGTGTTTGTGAGTTGCTAGACGTGGTTCAGCAAACCAAGTGAGCCAGCTTCCCCCCCCCCCAGTGCTTCCCCATGCCGCTTCACTTCCCAAGACCCTCCTCTCCAAGCTGTGCAGTGCACCAGGCGCCTCCTCTCTAGCCTTCACCTTCCAGTGGGTTGCTCCGTAGCTGGTTCAATCCTTCGCTGCGCTTTGTGTGGCGGCCAGCCGCGGCCTGATCTCCTCATTCTTCTGCCTGACCCGTTTGACCCCCGCGGGACGAGCGGCCCAGAGTCGATGACCTCGCCGAGCAGCGCGGGGTGAGTGGCGTCGCCGTGCCCACACGATGCGCGGCGGACGTTTTCTCACGGCGCGTGCACACCATTTTTGCGCCCTCATCATCCTATGATAGTAGTAACAAGGACGCTACTAGGAACAAGTGCATCGCTTCTAGTAACAAGTGCCTTACTAGTAGTAACAATAAGCTATTAGAAACAATATGTAAACCCGACGCCCGTGACACGCAGCCATCCTTGAGGCAAACGCCCGAAAAGACACACCAGAACAGACGTAGGTTTGGGTCTGGCTTCCCGAAGCTTGAGCAAACCGCTTCAGCAGGCAGCCAGCCGGTGGCGGGCTGCCAAGAGGACAAAACCCAGGCGAAACAGGGTCATTCTCAGGTTCAGGCTTCATTCTTGCAATGGGCCTTCCCCACTTTTTCTCTGAAGCAAGTCCTTCGGTTCAGGAGGGTGTGGTGGTTGTGCAGGCCTCTTCCGCCCCTTCCTCCCTTTGTCTCTATTACGTTGGAGTCTTTGATGCCACGTCGTCCTCTTCGACATCGTCTCTGTGTCGACTCCGCACCAGTGTTGCAAAGGTGCTGTCGCGGAGGTTGCTTTCCTGTTGGCCTCCAGCTATGTCCCGTTGTGTTGTGTTTTAACTGAGTTTGACGTAATGTTTTAGTGTTTTGGGTTCCCTTGCAATATGGTGTTTTCCAAGCTGTTGCAAGTAGACCAGTTAGTGTTGCGGCTGCCGGGTTGTGAGTCGACTTGCTCTAGGCTTACCTAAAGACACCGGCCGTTCCCGTCACAAGATCTTGTTTGGCCTACAAGAACTGGAGGTACTATCCAATGCTCTTGCCGTGGCACGTACCAACATCTCCACGTTATCATCGCGCGTGTCGTGGTGTTTGGCGTCGCTGAACAGGCTTTTGCCGCCGACCGTCGCTGAAAGCCAGGTCTTTTTTTTTCCTCTTTACAGTTCCTAGGTTCAGGAGGGCTACTCCGATTTGAAGATGCAATGAGGGAGGATAACGCAACACCGGCGGTTGAAGGGGCCCCTCCAGACAGATTATTGTTTTGTTCCCTCCAGGGCATCTGGTTTTGAGACGTCCAGCCACGAGTGGAACCAACTCCGAACGTCAAGTGTTCACTGATCTAAAAAACAATTGTTGGCCGCTAGCCGCTGTTCAGAATCGGCCCACATGACCACAAAGCCAGGATTGAGCAGAGCGTTCATGCACCGGAAGCACACCAGCAGCGGCTTCAATTCGAAGCATGGCATACTATGAGTGTGACAGAGGGACAACACTTCATAACATCATGACCCCATCAGCATCTTAAAACAACAATTTATGGTTCACTGTCTAGTAAAGCCGGTTTGTTGAATTCATACGCGCCCGCCGTGTTTGCCATGTACTATGCCACGCACAAAAGGGGGACACGTTGTGCTTCCAAGCCTGCGGCGTCAGCAGTCACACACTTCAGAATAGACCATTAAAGAGCAGAGCTTCAGTGGAGATCACGGAGAACTTTAGCATTTTGGAACTAGTTACTGAAGACGACCTCAAAGCTGAGAAGTGGCCCCATGCAAACGGAATGGCGGTAAGTCAGAAACAGTATCGTTTAGAAAATCACTGGACATGCAAGCAGGTACGTCAGCGAGCGTCCTTGCTGATATCAGCGCTGCCTGAAGGGCCTCTTTGTCAGATGTCCCCTCATCCCAAGCAACCAAATCACCAACCCAAGTAAAGAGTCCTATGCACAAAAAAATCAACTTCCAGCTCCACTCTAGGTCTTGAGGTACTTCGCAATCTTCATCAGCTTGCCATTTTTGACGCGCTGAGTGGCATAGGTGTCACGCTCCTTTTCTCCAACTCTACCACCATTGCCACCTGTTTGCACTGCGCCCAAGCAACAACAACTGTAGCCTGTTGCGTCCCACTGGCTTCGTGCCGATGTCAGCCAAGCTCAGTGTCGTGCTGACCAGCTTCACTTCTAGGTATCCCTCAGCCACCTTGTCTTGGCACAATAATCGATTCGTAATAGAACTTGCCCATGAACTAAAGACAATATATTCGACAAACAATTATAAACAATTTGAACAACTAAAGTATAGCAAGCGGCCATTGACATGTCGTAGACGTCCACTTCCTCGCTTCCAGCCAATTTGGTTTGTGGCTGAGTTGTCGGTCCAACAGACGTGTTTGAATTTCCTGTTCTGTGAGGAATTCGAGGGCACACATGATGCAAATGGCATCGCAAGCACCAGCAACCAAAGCGTTGAGCTCTCACTCTGCTGAGCTCAATGGGGCAGTTTTTTGGCTGCGCGGGCTTCCATGCACAATGACTCCATTCACGGCGTGGATCGCTCCTGAGGCAGATCGTTTCGTAGCCTTGCAACCATTCCAGTCAGCATCCGTGAACTGTTTCTGACTTCTCATCTCGATTCCTTCACTCCTTTCTCCCAAAAGGATGAAAAGGATGTGCTGGCCCCCAGTTTTCTTCAGGTAGCCGGTCATCCCCCCATGCTGGCTAGCTCCTTGGTGACGAAGCTGAG